AGAACACTGATACGTTTCCCTCCATCCTCAGTGTAATGTGTTACAAAACACACGGGCACAGCTCCTGTGTATAAAGCAGACATCAGTGTGCCATGGGCACACATCCCTGCAAACGAGGGCGATTGATCAGAGGGCAACTCCACACCTTCTCCCTGCCGGCACCTGAGCCACTAGATGTTGAAAGAAATTCTCACCATTAGATGTTGAAAGAAATTCTCACCATCAAGCCTCTGTTTTCACTTTAAATTCATGATCTCAAGACTCAAATTGACACTCAACATTGCTCAGTAAGCTTACTAGGTTTCTCTAGAAGGTGCATTTTCCCCTTCTCTTAGACATCTAACTTATTCCTTCTCCATCTTTCAAAAACCCACTCTGTCCCCTCCTCCACACTCCCCATCAGCTGAAGACCTCATTTCACACGTCACTGAGAAAATAGAAGCCTACAGGCAAGAACCCCCTCACCCTCCACCACCAAACCTGCCACCCCGACTTCACTTGTCCCCGCCTTCTTCTCCTGATACAATCAAGAGGCAATTCCTTTGGAAGCATGTGCTTAGGCCTCAGATGCCCTTGCATTTGCTCCAGGAACTGCCATGGGTCCCCTGTTGATGAACTTGAGGAAGAGAGGCTGCAAAGAAGACCCAGTGCTGCTTTCCACATGCTAAGATTGTTTAGATGTGTAAACTTGCTTGATTCTCTACAACCAATCCACAAGGTAGGTAACATTATTGTCCCCACATTACAGCTAAGAAAACTAAGACACAGAGAGTTTAAGTAACCTGCCTCAGGTCATAATACCAACAAGGGATGAATCCAGGCATCTGGCTCCAGAGACTGAATTTATAACTACATACAGCCTAACTCTGAAGACATGAAGAAGATGTGAGAAAAAGAGATAATTAGTTGTAAATATTTAGGCCAACTTCTTGGTTCTCAGAAGAGACCCCCTTGCTGGGTCTGCTTCCTTCTTGGGGTGATTGAGTAAGAATTAGCCAAGAAGAATGTCGTGTAAGGGGAGCACCAGAGTGCATGCAGTGGAACTCTTTGAACTGGGAAGTGAGAACTACAGGATCCCAGTACTCCTTCCTCTGTGACCATCAAATAAAACAAGGATCTGGTTTCCTAAAGTTACAAGCTCCCTGGGCCTTAGAGGCTGCTCCTCCATAGGTCAATGGCTGTGTGGGGAGAGTCCTTGAGGGGTTTCTCAATCTTCTGGGGCTGCTATAACAAAATACCACAGACCAGGTGGCTTAAACAACAGACATTTGTCTTCTCGCTGTTCTGGAGGCTGGGAAGCCCAAGATTTGGTTCCTAATGAGGGCTCTCTTCCTGACTTGCTGACAGCTGCCTTCTTGCTGCATCCTCACATGGCCTTTCCTTGGGAGAGCTCTCTCCCTCTCTGCCTCTTCTTATAAAGACATCAGTCCTACTGGGTTAGAGCCCTACCCATATGACCTCATTTAATCTTAATTACCTCCTAAAATTCCTATCTCCAGGTACAATCACAGTTGAGGCTGGGGCTTCCACATATGTATTTGAGGGACACAATTCAGCCCAAGGCAAGTGGTATTTCAGAATCTGCCATTACAGTTGCTACTATCCTGAGAGCAGTGAAAGAGGGTCACCCAGCTTGGAAAGAGCTTTCTAACCCAGTAGAAGACTTGTTCCCTTCTCTTCTTGAAGGCAACTCCTCCGCTGAGCTGTGGATCCTACCCCCTCACTTCTCCAGAGCTTTCCTCTCTCAGCTTTCCCCTCCCCTTCTCCTGCACCATCAATGTCTCCCTTTAGACTAGATGGCCAACATCAGCTACCAACATGTTTTTCTCCACCCTATCCCACTAAAATAACTCTCTTTTTACCCTGCCACCATCCTTCTCCAGCAATGCTGCAAGACTCAGGAGATAAACCCAAGCAAGATGGTATTTACACTTTTCACTCTAACTCCTGTAAAGTAATGGCCTGATTGCCAGCCTGCAGTGGGTATCTGATATGTATATATACATATATATGTATGAATGCATGCACACATATACACACCCATACATACACATTTTACACACATATAAACGCACACACGCACACAGTCTTGAGGGGGATTGTGAAAAGTAAAAGAGGAATTGGAATGCAATTGAAAAAACAAATGCTGTGAAGGCTGAAAAGAAAGATCAGACTGAATCTCTGCCTTTCCACTGAATACTGACCATTCCATTTTCAGCACATTTTTCAAGAGCCTGCTATATGTCTGGCCCTAGGCAAGGCACTGGCCCTTGCCTTTAAATGGTCCATTTAAAGTGACAACATACTTAATGGGATTTTTAAAGGGGCAACAGGCTCCCCACCAGGAAGAACCGCAGTGCACTTTCACCCAGGACAGGCTGCTTGGAGCATGCTAACATCTGCATGTGTTTACAGCCAACATCTGCATGTGCACACATACGCGCATGCTCAGTTAATAGCACTGGTCTGTATTTTATGCCTCCCAATATGACTTCCAGAGCAAGAGCAAGAAAACGGTACCATGAAACCAGCTATCTGAAGGGGCTCCCAAGCAGAGAAAGGGTTAAGACTAGGTCAAGGACAAGCACAGCCAACAGCCTTTTCTTTGCTCATTCCTGTCACACAAAGATCTGGTGACAGGTGGAGCGTTCCCTGGAATGTATGGTTTCTCTGTCCCCCCCAGCCTCCCCTCCTCCCATGCAACATCTCTTGCTTCCTGCCTCCCCCATCACCCCCCCCACACACACACACACACACATATCTGTCTCCTGCTTCTGCCTGAGGTGGAAATCTGCAGTCAAGAATGAGCAGGGTCAGTCTTGCTTTATTATAAGAAGTCATCTTTGAAAAGGCAACTCCCAACTCTTCCCAAGCATCCCGTAGGACTTTAGCTCTCAGCACAATGCATCTTTTCAAACCACCTGAAGTGTCAGAGGCATTTTCTCCTCTGAGCTCATCTTTTCAATGGTCCGTTTGTGATAGGTATTTTGAAAAGCACAGACCTCTAGGATGGGTGTTCCTTATGCTCCGTCTTCTATTTTACTAACCTTCACACTCATGGGCAACCAAGGAGGCGGCGCAGCATGAAATTTGCTGCCGTGCCTGACCACAGTCCCTGTTATTCCACGTCCAGGTGCTCTCTGTATGACACAACCACTGTGGGGGGAAAAAATAATTGAAAGTTCTTCCTGTAGAACTCAGAGGCCTTTTCTGAGGGTGAAAGCCCATAAATTCCAGGATGCTGAGGATATCGGTTCCTCTCTTAAAACTCCAGGTGGAGCTTCACGGCCCTTCCTCCTGCCTCTAGTGAGAAAAGCTCAGGATGGGTCCACCAGTGTCCAACATAATGGCTTCCATTGTGAATTCAACGCTACAAAGATCAGGCACCCATTTCTTGCAAGACACTGTGGGAAGAGATAAAATGACACAGACTTGGAACCTGCCCTCTTGTTATCTAGGGTCTGGGGTGGGAAAGAAAGACAGGTGCACAGATAACCTAAGAAAAGGCAGATTGTGTTAAATGCTGCCGTTGAGGAACAGATGGGAGCTATGGGCGCTGAGGAGGGAGGATGAATTCCAGCTCAGGCTTCCTGGAAAAGGTAGCATCGGAATTGCAGAATGAGAAGGATTCAAAAGTCATGGGCAAAGATGATGGGACTCCCCGTTGAAGGGAACTGTGCTGGCGGGCACGGGAGGGCATGCACAGCACGCATTTGGAGAAAGTGAGCGCAGCATCTGGGAGGAGGGAAGATATGGGGGTGGAGCTGGTCTGATGAGTCCAGAGAGGAGGGCTCAGCTCAAAGGATCAGGGTTTAGACACTGAGCTGTAGGAGATGGGGAGCCACTGAGGGCATTGGGGCCACACACCCACCCTTCGGGAGATAACCTGGAATCTGGGAAGGTGGCAGCCAGGAAGGACGTGCAGCCCTTGCCCTGTTCTTTTTGTTCCTTCTCTGGAGTCAACCAAAGTGAGACTAGAGGGGGAATCAGAGGCCCTATCAGGGGAACAGCAGGTTGGGGACTTCTGGTTCCCTGGCACCCTGCAAGACCTGGCCACCCACGGCAGGAGAGGAGCCTCAACTTTCTCAAAGTGAAGGTCTTGGATTGTGTGACCCTGAGGGAGCCCATCTGTCCCTTCAGAAGGTGGCTGTGTCTCTCATATCTCAAAACACAGAGAACTAGCCCTCAAAAGTAGAAGTCATGAGGAAAAGAAAAGAGACTTAGAGGACGAATGCGGAGCATCTGCCATATCAAAAGGGGGTGCCAGAAGATATGACACAGATGCATGGAAAGGGACAGCAAATAATACAAGAGAACATTGACGATATTCCCTGAGCTGAAGAACGCTTGATCTTTTAGATTTAAGACATACTTAAAACATGCTTTAGTGAAATTCCTACATTTCAAAGATAGGAAGAAAATCGTACAGACCTTCTGATAGAAAGACCTGGTTACTAACTCATCATCTGAAATACTAGAACCTAGAGAATACAGAAATACCTATAGAGAGAAAAAAATTATTAATTATTAATTAACACATTAATAAAGGAGGATTATTAAAAATGGATTATAATCCTAAAATCCCCCATCTAACCAAAGTATCACTCATCTAAAAGGACAAAAGAAAGTAATATTGCAGGCCCCATCCTCTAATTATAATCCAGTGATATTGTAAATTATTCACAATAATTGATTACCAAAAAATTTTTAATTACTTGAAAATTAAGATATACTCTTTTAAATTATCTTTTGTATAATAGGCAAATACTACTAGCTAAAATTTAACATTATCTAGACAGTAAGAAAACAAAAAACATTTCATACCAAAGTGTAGAGGACACAGCTAAATTTTACTCAAAGGAAAATATATAGTCTGAACTGCTTTTAGTATATTAGAAAAATCAAGAGTGAAAATAAATAAAATGTATGTATTCAACTTAAGAAATTGGGGAAAGAATAACAAAGTGTAAAAGAAGCCAATTCTGGCAGCAATGCCCCAGGATAAAGGCTGAAAATAATTCTGCAGCAAAGCGAGGAAGGCCTGAAATACCGAAGCAGCAGGATCAAAAAGAAGAGCTGGATTCAGAAGCTGTCCTGGACGTGGAACGGTCCTGGCATCCGGAAGCAGAGAACCGGAAGTGAGAGGAGTGAGAGATGGGGAAGAGTCTGAGCTTGGATATCTAGGTAAAGGGTGATACTGTTAGTAAGACAGAAAATAAAGAAGAAAGAATAAGCCGAGAGGGAAGATAAGTTCAGTTTTGATACAGGGAGCTGGAGACGCCTCAATAAGCAAAGGTCTGGTGTGCGGCACAGCACTCACTGTAAACCCAAACATGCCCCAGATTCCTGTGTCACCAGTCCAGGGCTGCAATTGGCATTGCAAGGTGACTAAGTTCAGTTTTGATACAGGGAGCTGGAGACGCCTCAATAAGCAAAGGTCTGGAGTGCGGCACAGCACTCACTGTAAATCCAAACATGCCCCAGATTCCTGTGTCACCAGTCCAGGGCTGCAATTGGCATTGCAAGGTGACAAATAAGTTTAAAAGTATACATTTAATATAGACTGATCTAGCACAAGCTCTGACCTGAGAGAGAAGGCTCCATCCTCTCCAACCCTCTCCTCTACTACAATTCAGAGGGACTGTTTTAGGAGATTGGGACTGGGGGTTACAGTGTAGAGAGAGAAAAGCAAGGCCAGCATTTCCTCAATCACTTCCTCAGCTGAAACACCCCTGTTAGGAAACAAGTGAACTTCTCAGGAGTCACGTGCCTGAAGTGTGTAAATACAGTCTCACGGTTGTAGCTGAATGACTATGGAATGCAACTTCAGCACTTCAGCTCAATTTAACTTTTCTTTGTCCTTATTTTCCCCATACCCCTGCAGCCAATAACCGCAGCAACACATCACTGAGAAATTTAGATCTTGGGAATCAAAAGAATCACTGGTCAAGATCTCTTAAAATTCAGATAACTCTTTTAAACAAATCTGGTAACAAACATTCTGGCTTCTATCCAAGTCAATCTTCCTGCATAGCTTCTAGGAAAAGCAGCAGATCAATGATGGTATTCACTTGGGAGACTAAAAAAAAAAGCCAAGCAGAGAACATGCTGGAAAGAATCCCTTCTATCCTGTGCCTTTACTTATGCCATCTTGATTTTCTCTTTGGTGCAGATGCATAGCTTCAGGCAGAGTATATTTGCTTAATCCTCTACCACCAATTTGTGCCGTGTTAACTTAGTCCTTGGTAAGGTTTAAATTGACTGAAATGGAAACTTTAAATACTGGCAGCAGATGTTCATCAAACCTTTCTGGTGCAATGTTCAAGACACACAACTGAGAGGCTTACACTGTTCTAGACTCCCAGGGACGCTTACAGAGTGAAGACCTCAGGTCAGTCCTTCCTGCCATGTCACCTGTTTTTGAGAATGCCTGTCCATTATCCCAAGTTCAAGCCACGGGAGGTCAGATAACTATGTTTCTTTTTAGTGCACCACACAATTTACAGTTGAAGCCTCCAGAGGTTTACTTTGAGTTAATACCATTAGTGGTAACTGAGTATGGGCATTATGACCTAACCTCATATCCAAACCAGCCCAATTTATGCTCAAGCAAAATAAAGGTGCAGACATCCAAATAGTTCTGAGAACCACTGACATAATCACTACAGAAGGCCGCTGTTCCGGAGCTCAGAATTAACTAGACTCATTTGTAGAAAATTGTCAAAATGCATCCAGGCAAGGGTTCTTTTTTTTTTTTTCTTTTTCTTTTCTTTTTATTTTATGCAAATCTTTTGTAAAGTCAGTTCCCATTTCTCCTGACTGGTGATGTTCATTAGCAGTTCAATGAAAATGATGGCAAAATGGCCTAATTCTTGATCTTTTTTTAAGCTGCACCTATTTCTGTAGAATTAATAAAAGCACAAATTTGGAAATTTAGGTAGGGTTTTCTTTCCCCTCCATGTGCTAACATTATTCTCCTCATATGGAACTGGTGTTTTTGTCTCTTTTCATTAACTGAGAAGTTCACTTTAATAATGTTCCAGAGAAGGGGGTTTTGGTAATAGGTATTCAAATTTGAAGGCATAGAGCATTTGATCTGGAGAATGTCACATGGCTTAGAAAAGGTCCAGATATCTGAAAGACACTCAAGGCAGTTTCATTTGGGGTTATTTCTTGAAGAACTGGCTCCCATTGTGGGAATCTCTTCATGTCTTTGTGCTTTCTCTTATGACATCTTCCTTACAAATATGATGTGATGCTGATATTGTCATCAGCATCATTCCTGAACATCATTATCTATGTGTAGTCAAGCTTATCATTGAATACCCTCACTCTGTCCTAAAGCAGAACCTGGGGCTTTTGACTTTAGTTCCCTGATACCCAAAATGTGGTCCAAAGACTAGCAGTATCTGCATTACCTAAGAGTTTGTTAGAAATGCAGAATCTCAGGCCTCACCCATGCCTACTGCTATGGATTGAATTGCCTCACCACAAAATTCATATACTGGAGCTCTAACCCCCAGTGTGGAAATAGGGCCTATATGCAGGTAGTTAAGTTTAATAAGGACATAAAGGGAGCCCTTATCCAATAGAATTAGTGTTGTTATAAGAAGGGACACCGAAGAGTTCCTTCTCTCTCTTACTCTGAGCACATGTACACAAAGAAAATGAGCATACAGTGAGAAGGTAACCGTCTGCAAGGCAGGAGGAGAGTCCTCACCAGGAACTGAATCAGCCAGCACCTTGATCTTGGACTTTCCAGCCCCCAGAACCATGAGAAATAGATTTCTGTTGTTTAAGCCACCCAGTCTATAGTTTTTTGTTATGGCAGCCTGAGCTGACAAATACACCTACCTAATCAAAATCTTTATTCTAACAAGATCCACAGATGATAAGTATGCGTATTAAAGTTTGAGAAGCACACTGCTTTAGTTAACCTTGATCATGACATTTAAACTCCTCTTCTGTTCTGTCAATCATTTCCACATGGAAGGAACTTGAGCCATAAACCAGAATGGGCTTTGAAATGACCTTTAGCCTTTTTAGGCTCTGACTCTCTGATTCTAAAGATCATTGTCAGCCTCAATTTGCCATTCTCTGAAATGGAGAGAACCCATGAGCTCTGCTTAAGAATGAAGAAGTGCACTTGAGAAGCCCTATCTAGAATGGGCTTTGAAATGACCTTTAGCCTTTTTAGGCTCTGACTCTCTGATTCTAAAGATCATTGTCAGCCTCAATTTGCCATTCTCCGAAATGGAGAGAACCCATGAGCTCTGCTTAAGAATGAAGAAGTGCACTTGAGAAGCCCTAT